CAACTGAAGATGCGATGGTTGCTGATTTGTCTGGCACATTAACTATGAACATTCGGACAGCCTGACATTGAATTCGATGGCAATTTAACTGCCAGGGCAGACAATTTGATACTTGACAACTCCTCGAAGGCATAGAATCAAAACAGAATGCGCAAAAGTTTGCCCTAGTTACACAAAGTGGCTGAGAAAGAGACACAGACAGAGACAGAGAGAGAGAGAGTGAGTGAGATGCCACATCATTGCGAGAGACTTTTTTAGTTCTTCTTGCCGTTTGTCTCTCGGTGACAGCAGCAGCAGCATTTGTGCCCGAACTCTGAGTCATCAAATTCTTTAGCATGGGGCTGAATGCAAAAATTATGTATTACAAGCATGAACCAAAACAAAAACAAAACAGTGACCGAATTATGTATGTGCACACATTGGCTATCTTTAGCATCGAGAAATATGAAGTAATCCAGCAGCTACTTCTGACTCGTACAGATTTTGTAAGAAATAAAAGCAAATATTTATGTGGAATTCTTGGAAAAGGTAAAATTGGAATATGTCATGAAATTTTCCAACATTAAGTGATTCAAACTTGATGGGAAAGAAAAGAAAAATTGTTGGAAAAAGTCAGATTCAACAGGATCTCTACTTTTGATTGTTATAGTGCTTATAAGAAATATATACAGTACCCCCTGTTTAGATTGTAAGAAATATATATATTAATTTTTGCATTTTATATTTATATTTTCAGAACTTTGCTTCCTAGAAAGTAAGTTTCTGGATGTCAAGTAAGTAAAAACTTTACTATATTGTACTCTTTTATTTTTTTTATATTTTATACATTTACTTAAAAGATATACTTTTATAAGAATCCCTATTATAATCAATAGAGCAACATTTCAGGATAAAATGAATTTTATGCTATCTTCTTATATAAAATATTCATATACTAAGACTAAAGAAACTTGAAACTTGAATGGAATGAAAAGCTATTAAAATCATTAGAAATTCATATTAAACAAGATCATCTTAGTATGAAATTCCTAGAACCTGGCTTAAAGCGTAGCAACAAAATGTTGTGCTATAAAATTTAGAAGCTCTTTCCACAAATCGGATACAGAGATTCGCGGATGAAGATAAGAAACGTCGCTGCTTCACAAATATGCTAAAATATGCTGGGCACATAGGCATTACTTAGGCCATAAGACATTTTTCGTATATATTTGAATGCTATTCCCCACTGGATTTTGTTTTTGGAAGCTATTAACATGTACACATAATGCCACATAAATCCATAAGTAGGCAAACATGTGTGTAGCACACTCAGTGAAAACAGATGTACGAACAAGAGACGAGAGTTCATAATAATGATGTCTTCGGCTGGGCAATTATAAGTAAATCTGATGCGAAACAAGATCAGAAAATATAGTGCTGTATAGCTGCTGACATAATTGGGGCCTACTTTTGGCCAAAAAGCAAAAAAAAAATACAAAAATAAAGAGGTTGCTCGTTTGGATTAGTTCATTAATGGGACTTGGAATGATGTCATATGTAGCGGATACACTCCAACGCTTTGCGTTTGGTTCGCCTCTTTGTGATTTAAATTCCATTATTATTCTCTGTTTTGTTGTATTTTGTGTTTTGTCTTTTATTTTTAATTCGCTTCTTTCTTTTTTTGTACATTGTCTGAGCTTTGCGAAGCCGCGGCTGCCGCCACGCCCCCCACATCGATACTCTGGCTCCATTGTTAGAATTGTCTACTGTGTGCGCGCCGTCTGTGCCTCAAAGTTGTTTGTCAAGTTTTTGAGATCTTTCCACCAGCTCACTGCGAATTCAAGTTCAAGCTTGCTTTAAGAAATATATACATATACATATGTAACTGTAGGTACACATAAATATGTATTTGTGTACACATTTTCTAAGGTGTCTTAGAACTCGATCTTGAGGGTGGTTGTTGTTGCATTAGGGTGGTTTTTGGCTCTGGGGTGGTTTTCCTATTGCCTATTGTTGAGAATAGCTAGAATACCTAGCAAAATTACTCCCGACGTTTGCTGCGTAGATTTTATTTTATTTATTAGCGACACGCCTTATGTATAAGAATTTTTATGCCGGCTTCTACTTAGGGGTTTGAGTGAAGGGTTGAAATGATTGCCGTCCAATTTCTATCTCAAATAATGCCATTTGTTGCCACCTTTGTCTTTGAGCATTAGAAGTGGGTAAAAGAAAAAAGCTGTTTGAGTTTCTCAAAGAAACCCGAATACAATCTTCAATTAAAAGAAAATAAATCATCATATGAAAGGTCATTCAGGATTCGATCTTCTTAGCCTTTGTATAAAAGTCAAGGAATCCTCTCCTTTCTGTGGTGCAACAACCCTTCTATTGTCTTGTCCCACTTTCCCACAAATTGTGACTTCATTCATCAATTCGTAAGACCTAGAAACCCATTTGCATTCTGCATTTAAGTAAGCTAGGGGTACGACGAGCCGTGTAGCGTGCAAACATTGTTGATGATGATGGCAACGTCGACGTCATCTGCGCAATATAAAAATGCTATAAAAATCAAATAAAAGTGATGTAATCAAAGGTATACGACTGTGAGATGCCCTATAGCTAAGACTGAAGATTGAGTAGAACTTGGAAGTTTCCAATAGAGATCGATAGAAATAATGTGAATAAGATTAAATGACATCTATTAACTAATCCTATGACAGACATAAAACTATCACATAATATATGAGCCCACTAATTAATTCTCTCGCCTAATACTAGACAGGGTGCTATAATTTATGATTATAGAGTATCAAATTGATTGTCCTCCCGGGTCTTGCGTAACTTTTGTCCTGAACATTTACTGCTGGTGGCTGTCACACGCGGCGTTTAATGCTCCCCCGAGCGCTGCTCCGCAATTAGTTGCCAAGGTTACGCTATTTCCACTTCTTTCACTCCCACCTGCTGCCGCAGACGCCTACAACCCCCGACACCGCCCCGCCTGTGTGAGCTGGCATTATCCTTGCGTCAATTGAGTTTCGTTTTGGCTAATTTAATTACGCAGCCAAATGGTGTGGAAAATGTTAAAAACAGCAACCAAATGCGCCGAAGGGCAGGCGCAGTCCAACCGCTTGTAGGGTGCAGCTGTGAAAGGTGAGCGGGCGGAGGGGATTGCTGCATTAAGTAATTTTCCCATGGCTCTAGCGCCGGTCAGTCGCCACACAAATTGCACTTTTCATTGCGTACAACCGACAGAGTTGTAAAAAGCACTTAACTAGGAGTAGATATAGGTTTATGTGGTACCCATATACACATACATATACATATATATGTATATCTATATAGTTTCATTGATTTTTATGCCCTGTAGCTTTAAGGTTGACAGGGTAGATCAAATAGGAGAACGATATGTAAAGAAGCCAAGGCTTTCGTGATAGATCTACAGAGTTGTTCTCTTAATGAATTTGCATATGATATACTATGCTGAAGGTCTAAATAGTCAAAATTCTTAGACTAATAGTCAATTCGAAGTAAATTGCAACAATATTAATTTAGTCGATCAACTACTTTTTTAATGATCATATCATATCATATTATAAATTATATATTCATATTCATTCATTCCCAGTAATTTGTCAATTTTTTGCAATATTATGGACATTTTTAAAAATATTTTAAGATCATCAACGAATCTATTGAAACAATGTTGCTTATATTAAAATATATAAAGGATATCTGACTGGGGCTCATCCAATTTTATTATGAAAATCAGCTTGAAGCCAAACAAGCAACATGTATAGGGTATCTCGCAGTCGTACTTGCTTAACTGGATCAGTCGCTGCTAGTTTGGCTGCTCTAAATGAAGCTGATGACTTCATTTTCATGTCTTTTGCTTTGTTTTGCTTTTCAGTTGTGTTTGGCTCCTACATGGTATATCCTTGACGCCCTACCCTCCGCCTCCGCCCCCGCCCTTGCCTCTGTTCCTTGCTATGTGCGTGTCCTCAACAGAAACGGGTTTTTCGGGCTATATTTTTTCTTGAACTGTTTTGGTTCGTCTTCTACCTAAGCTGCCGTTTGGCTACAGTTTTCGCTCTTGATTTGATTCCAAAACGAACGCAGCCAAACAAGAATGACATCACAATATTTAAGTGGGTTTGATTGTGACTCAAACTGATATGTATTCAAAAATATACACAAATCTTATATATATACCGCTCGTGTATGCTGTAGGAGAGGCCAATCTTGAAGATTAGACAGCTAAGAGATCATATAACTCATAAGAAGCTTTACTATAGAGCCTAGGTCTGGACAACACATAGAAAATTGCGCTTCTTATAGTTTACAGGGTATCAACAACACAACATATATACCTATTAAAATTTATACATATTAATATATAAGTATATGAATTTTTTAGATATTCTAATATTTGTATAGCTGAAATAAGGTTTTATATATCCATTTCCAATGAAATTCTTATGCATCCGGTAAATTTTGGAAAATTCTTGACACCATATGCAGCAGCAGCAATTTGTTTACTTTAAACAATTATATGCTGAATAAAATTTTTAATTTTTCAAATTCGAATTTGTTTATGGCATTAAGTTTCGCATTCGATATTCATTTGATGAGCACAAACTGCTGAAAATCACGCACGAGTTTCACAAATGTCGCAAGAAATGCGTATTCGAATAAAATTCTGTTTTTTTTTTTTTTGTGATACGTTTTGAAATATTTGAATTCAACAGACGCAAACGCAAGAAAAACTACGAGCAACAACAACAACAACAGCGGCTATAAAAGCCAAAAACACCGCATAGTATTTTGATATACGTTAAAGCTACAAAAATAAATTTCGAAAAACCAAAAACAAAATTTCAATTGGCCAAAGTGAAACACAGAAAAACTATAAAAATAAAAACAACAACACACACGTAAAAGCTCGCGCGGCGTTTTCAAAAAAACGTTTGTTTTTTTTTTTATATGTATATATTTTTATATATATTTTTTTTTATTTTTCCCATTACATTTTTCGGTTTTGTTTTTGTGATTTTGGCGGCAGCGGAAGCCAAAACGTTCGCCTCGCAATTTTCGCCTCTTTTTTTTATAGACGTGCGCGTTCCGCGTGCGTTGCCAACGCTTTGCCGTTCGAGTGAAAACTAAGCGACGAGCCGCTCGAGCAGCCAAGCAGAAGCAAGCGAATTGTCACTGGGCGGCCAGCAGCAGCGGCAGCACCACCAACACCAACACCACCACCACAACCTCAACCACAACAGCAACAGCAACAGCAAAAACAACATTTAGTAGAAGACCAAGCAGCAAGCAGCGTGTTCAGCTGTGCAAGTCTAGCCTCTGCTATGAATTTCAATTGTATAAGAGAGCGCTAGAGAGAGTGAGAGAGGGAGAGAGAGAGAGAGTGTGTGTGAGAGAGCGAAAATTCTGTAGCAGACTTTGCGGCGAGCCATTGACCGTTTCATATGGCATACCAAAACAAAGCACGCTTTTAGGGTGCTGTGAATTCGCCGTGCATGTCTGTGCACACTAAATCATTTTATAAGACGATCTACTCATATGTGTATGCGAGAGGTTGCTAATGATTGCCATAGCTGTAATACTTTAGTAAATATTCAGCAGATTTTTCATTGTATTGCATATAAATATTGTTTACTAAGGAAAACTGAATGAAACATGCATATTTAGTAGGACATATAAATATACATATATTATATATACAATTGGTAGTGAAAATACATGATAGTATTTTGAGTTCAGTTATGGAATCAGCCCTCGTAATAAATACCTTTTATATTTTTTATGTAAAGGAAGAGAAACTTTTTTTTACGAATAACTGAAATATTTCCAAAACAAAAACATACATTTTTCTCTTTTTCTAGTTCTCTAATCGAAAGGATATACGAATTTAAGTCTGGCAATATTTTTCCACAGATATGTAAGAAATCATTTGATAGAGCTATTAGAGTAGCACATAGACCATATTAAATAAAAATTACTCCAAGACAGTTCAGTTCTAATAGTACTATAAAACAATTACTTACCCTTTGACATAGTTATGCTCCCACAACTTATCGAACCTTCAAGCAAACAATTATTTACACGCCTATTTAATGATAAGAATAAAGCCAAGTTGCCTTCCAGAAAAAACCTCGTATCATATACAAATAAAATCGTTTACATATGTCGCGAGCTTCCCTTTCAACCACAGCTGTGCTCGCATAGCAGTTGAAATTTCAACTGTCTGTCGAAGGCACGGCAAGTGCAAAGATTTTCCGGCAAGCGAAATGTGTTGACCAAATTTTTGTGTCTCGTATTTCCACCCTTAGATGCAGACACGTAGACACGCAGACTACAATCAGACACACCCCCGCAGGACGCCGCGTCGTCTGCCCTATATAAACAGTAAACAGTGAACAGTTATCCACGTGCACGAGGGTGTTTTTGATGCATGTGTGTGAGCACACACTTACACAGAATATATATAGCAGCATATGATTGATATGCGCCAAACGCAATTTCCCTAATTAAGCAGAATGCATAACTAAAAGACATTTCAAACGTTACCAAATAAAGGTTATTTACTGTTTGGGGGGGTGAGTATTTTCCTGTTTGCACTATTCGGAGTTTTAGCTCAAATGATTTTTAAGTAAATATTTTTGGTAAAATATTGATTAACGCTTGGGCATGTGAAAATATTGTTGTTTAATGGGTCAATATTAGGCATTAGTGGGCCTTTGGCTAAATGAAAATATATTCAGAATTAAATATACATATTTTATTCGTCTAATATGCAAGATCTGTTGAAAAATCAGGGTATAATAAGAAATCAGTTTTCTAAAATTCATAAATTCTTGAAGAAACAAAAAAAAAAAAAACAACTTTTATTTTCGATTTCTAAAACAGTCTCTCGTGGCTTTTTATTCACTGATCAATGATCACAAAAAGCATTTGCCTTTCGAACAGCTGTTTTGCCAGATGGAGCTGTACTAATTAAATTTAATTTAGGATGACTTTTACTGGCACTCAGCACATCCCTCTCTCTCTCTGTCTCTCTCTTTCCATCTCGCTGACAGAGCAGAAACCGAAAATGAGCCAACTTTTCCAATCTAATGATCGGATCAATCAGCGTGAGTGCAGTCAGCTATTCAGTAGGCATACGATTAGCCTTTGACTTTATTCAAGAGTAAACTTTAACCCATTGCTGGTTGCCTGTGGTCGATGCTGCTCTATGGAGCAGCTATTTTTGGTTTCCAAATGCTCGTTCGCAAAAAAAAAAAAAATAAGAAGAAAAAAGCTGCCCGATTCGTTCGGGCAGCGGCGTATGTTTGGCGATCTTGTTCGGATCCGTGTGTGCGCTGTTCGGTTCCGGCGTAGCACAGATTTTGATTTTAGTACAAATTCGTTAGTCGTACAAATCGCATGACTTTGCGGGCAAAACTTAGAGAAACCACAAAAAAAAAAAAAAAGCGAGCAACAACAAGAATAAAAGACATTTTCAGCAGATCAGCTGAAAATTACGGATTGCCAAACTAAATAAATAAATAAATCAAGGAATCTGCATACTCTTTGTATATAGCTGAAGACATGGAACAGTGCAACGTGCATTTCATAATTTAGAGAAAATATTATATAAATTAAATGTTCATCCAAGCGAAGACAAAACACTCCCCTTAGTTAATTAAAAAAAAAAAAAAAAAACAATTAAAAGGAACCACATTTCTAGAGTTTAAATGTAATTTAAGGCCAATTCTTGGCGCTTGTTGTGATATTCGCATAATTTTTCAACGTGAAAACAGACAACGGATATACATACATATAGCTATTGGCGTATTGGCCAAAAGCAAAATAACAGAAAAAGAACAAATATAAATATATGTATATACATATATATTGAGACAGATAGATTCGCATCAATATATATATTCAAAGTCAATACGGTAAACTGGGCTATTTCAACATACGGAGATGACGACGCGCGGCATACGGCGTAAAAAGTCTACGCTGACAGAATTGAAAATCGCAGTTATTGGTGCGCCCAGTGTTGGAAAGAGCGGTAAGATCGAGTTTGAAACAGCAAAAACACAAGTTGAGAAATTAATGAAAAGAATGGAAAATGGGTATAAAAGGAAAGGCGACTACAAACAACAGCGAGCAACAGCAAATTAGTTGAGCAATCGCTGATTTCGTATATATTTAGATCGTTGTTTGTTTTGTTTATAAAGTGGGAGCACACACTGACACTCACACAGACACACACACACACACAGGCACACACACACACAGGCACTCACACACAGCTGTATCTCTGTGCATGTGTAGCCAAGCATGCCGCTAAATATATACTTACATAGCTCTATCTGTATCTGCAACTGTAGCTATGATTGTATCTGTATCTGTATCTGTCTCATTGTATTTGTATCTTTGAGTAGCTCGCATTTGGCTTTAATCGTTTGCACCGTTCGATTTGACACGCGTGCACCCACAGCAGCCACTAATTTATGACGGCCACTGTGTCACACACACACACACGCACACACATGCCGAGAGTTAACTGCAAATTGATGTATCTTGTCAGTAGACACAACGACGACCCTCACCCCTGAGAGCGCAACGAAGAAAAGTTTTAATTTGTAAAATTTTTGTTCGACCCGCATGACTTCCGCATGCCTTGGCATCTGTCAACTTCAGGTAACACCCAGCTACTTTATGGCTCCGTTGGCCGGCATAAGCCAGCCAAGAAATATGACTAGCCTATATGCTCCACTAATAAATAGCACTTGCCGCTAAGCCTTGATACCAACTGACAGCTGTATCCGATGAAATGTCGCACCCCATAAGCGTGTGGCATTCTAATTTCAAACGGAAAGTTTTCACAGAAAACTCTTTAAAAGTCGAAATTTCAAATTAAAGTCAAATTTGCATCTTCATATTAGTTTCAAAATATCTAGTAAAGGGTTGCATGTTAACTACAGTTTTTAGTGCATACTAAAGCTTAGGATATAAAGCCATAAAAGCTAATTATATTTTCAATTTTATATTCTGAAATACTTTTGAAATACTTTTGCTCAAAATGTATTTTACAAATGTCACATATAGTTTATAGTATATATTTTTTATAAACTTGTATGTTCATATTATATTGGCTATATTTAATTTCCATATGTTAGTAATACAAATTAGAAATAAATATATATAATATTTATTACATGTATAAATTTATTTGATTTTTTTCTGTCACATGCCAACTGTGTGCTTCATACTAGCCTCAACTTTTGTCTGTATTTTAAAGAGTATATAAGCAAAGCCCTCGGCTATCAACTCTAGAAAACTTATCAGTAATGAATAAAACTAAAATATGAAAATATAAATATATAAATTTACATACATAGATATATGCTCGACCAGCATTGATCGAGAAATTGCAATATGCCAAATTTATTTATGAATGAGAGCAAATATTTTCCTGATCTTTATTTTCTGCTGCATACCAGACGCAATAAAAAATGTGTAAATAATAAATGTAAACGGAATTCCGCAGTTCAACTCAGATAAAAATAAATTCTACAATATATGTATAATATAACTTGGCAAATATTTTCTTCAGCTAAAGCCCGCTAAACCTTTGCTTAGAACGTTCAATGTCAGTCCCCACTTTACGAAAGTAGAGCAAATCCTATCTGAAATAGATAAACTTGGTGACATAAACATACATACATATATATACATATATATACATACATATATATATACATCTTACAGTCCCATTGTAAAGATAGCCCAAGTACTTTTGCATTAAAGAAAAAGTTCTGCAAATATAATAAAAATTGGAATAAGTAATTATTAAATGGAATTGTTTTTAAGGCGCCAGCAAATCTTGTGAGCAGACAAGATCATATAGATGATATATATGTTATTACGTACGATATTTATTTATCTATATATACCATATATATATATTTATTTATATATATATATATATATATATATATATATATATATATATAT